ACAATCTCACAAAATTTTAGATTTGTTTATCTTTTTTTTAAAAGCCTAATTATCTGGTTCTCCAGATAGTCTTGAAATTTCTGGCCACTATACTGTTTATCCACTGAAGTGCCTATATATGAATGGAAGCAGAACACAGCCACCTACACACACAAACCAACTACGACACAGCAAGTGACAACTTCAGAAACATCTGGATCCAAGGCCCAGCCCACCCCCAAGATCACATTTTCCAAATTCACCAAGCAGAGGGCCTGAAGAGGCCTTCTGTCCACAGAGAAGCTGCTTAGGGCCAGCCATCAGTGGAACTTATTTGTAACACCAGAAAAGGGTGTTTTAAACAACAGGACTGGAACAAGCGTTCTCTCTTCTCATTTGGAACAGGACCAGAAGGAGACCATGGCAAGGTCAAGAGGCTTGCAAACCAAGAATAGTTCAGCCCAGTGTGGGAGGTGAAGTTGAGGGCAGCAGAACTTTGAAACTTGTGCAGCAGCTCAAAGGGGTCCACAGTGAAGCAATATTCAGCTTGTGCTAAATTGATAGAATGGTATTTAGCTAAGCTGCAGAGACTCAACTTCTGCGCTTTATGATGCTATAGACTTCAATCCAGCTCTAGTTTGGATTTTTTTTTTTCCCCTGGTTCTTCTGCCTCAGTGGATTAAGACTCTGGTCCCTGCATATACCTCTGGTCCTTCAGTTCTCTATTAATGTCCAGTGCACAAAACCAGGAGCCAGGATAGGATTCAAAAGTACTACGAGTGTATTTCATGCTACCTATGCGTGTTAGAGGACAGGAAGACCTGGAGGAACGTTGTCCATGGGGTTGCGATGGGTCGGACACGACTTCACAATTAACAACAACATGCGTGTTAAATCTAAACTGTTACACCTGCTAAGCTGATGTTTGTGAAGCTTGTACAAATGGGTATTTGGGTATTTCAATTTATTTTAGAACTTGGGAAAAATTTTATCAATGGTTAGAGACACGTTAGAACTTGAAGGATTCAATATTTTAGAATAGATGACTGATTTTTAATCGAGTTCTAACTAACATTTTGATGATACGATTACTTTTCCTGATTTACTGATTTTCATTTGTTACTTTTGATTGCTAGGATTTATTTTTGGGGGAGATTTTATTAGTTGTTGTTGTTAATTGTGAAGTCGTGTCCGACCCATCGCGACCCCATGGACAACGTTCCTCCAGGTCTTCCTGTCCTCTACCATCTTCTGGAGTCCATTGAAGCTCACGCCTCCTGCTTCAGTGACTCCATCCAGCCACCTCATTCTCTGTCGTCCCCTTCTTCTATTGCCCTCAATCTTTCCCAGCATTAGGCTCTTCTCCAGGGAGTCCTTCCTTCTCATTAGGTGGCCAAAGTACTTGAGTTTCAACTTCAGGATCTGGCCTTCTAACCTTTTATTAGTAGTGTTTATTTAATAGATCAACGTATTTGTTTACTAATTGTTTTTAATATGTTACAGTTTAAGCTTTGTTAAAAATGGTTGAATATGATATTTACTCATTATTATGATCCGGACGGTTGCTTGTTTGTTGAAATATGTGATTGTACCTATCCTTATTTTACCCCAATTCCTTATTTCCTTCCCCTCCCCCTTTCCTTTTACCCCTCCCTTTACCATACCTGTATTGTTCCTATTTTTCCTCACCTATATAAATTTAATAAAATTTTGTTAAAAAAAAAAAGTACTACGAGTGTATTTCATGGTACCTATGCGTGTTAAATCTAGATTGTTACACCTGCTAAGTTGATTTTTGTGAAGCTTGTACAAATGGGTATTTGGGTTGACAAGCCTACAAAAACCCATTTTTGCTTGTCTTTTGGGTACGCCACAGCAGTAAGCCAAGAGTCACATCAAGAGCCTTGTACTGCAGGAAAGAAATAAAATGCTGTAGCTCCTTTCTAACATATTAATACTTGTGTGCGTACACCACTGTTAGTTGATCACAGCTATCTGAATGGTTGACTAACACAATCAGCTGGTGACATACTGCACCCCAAATCAAGGTGCTTGATAAAGGAAACCCTCTTTGATTTATAACCATTCATTTAGCAGCTGTTCAACGTTCCAAAGAACTGAAAAATAGTAGTACATCCTCACACTTATGACGGTCACAGCATCCCCAGTCACATGGTTATGATTTGGGCACTTGGCAACTGGTATGTAATTTATGACAGTTGCAGAATCATGAGTCACAGGATTGCAATTTCTGACCTTCTCAGCTGGCTTTCGACAGTTAATGGGAAACCGAGCAATTTGCTTAACGACTGCTGCAAAAAAAAGTGGCAAAATCAGATGTAGTCACATGATGCCTTGCTTAGCACCCACACTGCTTAACACCCAATTTCCTGGTCTCTGCTGTGATCATAAATTGTACGGTATATTTATGGTAAGCATTGCAGAAGGTAATTCTACCAATACAACGTGCTGGTTCTCCAGAGGAGAACGAGACTTGTCAGAAGCCACGAGGGTGTCAAAACACTATTGCATGCATCGTTGTGTGTCATTGCACACCTCACTTGGATGATGACTTCATGATGATGCCTAAGCAGGAAATCTGCCATCCTCCAGATGCTGAGAAACTAACTTCCAGCAAGCTCAGTTGGTAGGGCTCAACACCTGAAATGGATGGAGGTGAGACCTAGGTCAGGGGTCCTCAACCTTGGCCACTCTTGAGACTTGTGGACTTCAACTCCAGAATTCCTGGCTGAGAAATTCTGGGAGTTGAAGTCCACAAGTCTTAAAGTGGTCGTGGTTGAGGACCCCTGAACTAAGTAGTCATTTCATACCAAGTTAAAATTTTTGGCCCGTAGGTTTGGAGAAGATTGTAAGAATACAGACAAAAAACACAAAGCAGTTATTGACATTTAAAAAAACAAAACAAAAACAAAACATGGATGCATTTTGCTACTGTATATCATGTTGGTATGCCTGATTTAAAAAATAACAACATGACAATGGACCCTTTTTGGGGAAATGATGTAAGGTTTCCTGCCTGAGCAGGGGGTTGGACTCGATGACCTCCAAGGTCCCTTCCAACTTTATTATTATTGTTGTTGTTGTTGTTGTTGTTGCTGTTATTATTATTATTATTATGGATCATCGCACAGTCAACCAGATGTTCAGACTGGATTTGGCATTTTGTCTACCTATCGAGTCCTTACCCAGGACCTGGGATAGGCAGATGTGGATGTTTGATGGTATTACAGATATCGTCGCAGGATGGAAGCAGTTCCTAGTAAGGCCGCCTTTTGCAATTGACTAATAGCGAATTTGTCAATGCCAATGGTGGTATTATTATTATTATTACTATTATTATTATTATTAACCCAATTGCTAAGTTCACACAATATACTCGACCTTTAGCTCAGGGGTCCTCAATCTTGGCAACTTTAAGACTTGTGGACTTCAGCAAAGGTAGCTAAGCAATTCTGGGAGTTGAAGTCCACAAGTCTTAAAATTGCCAAGGTTGAAGACCCCTGCTTTAGCTACCGAGAGAGGTTGAAATTAACCACAGATTTGCCTCTAGCACGTTATGTGAACACAACTAAAATTGGCACAATACATTTTGCTTCCAGAGTTCAGAAAAGCCAACGACCCTGCACCTAAAATTATCATATCCTGCCTTTTATTAAACTGACAGCCTATTTCCCGACACTTAAAATTTAACCAAGCCATGGCTGAGCTGGATGCTTAGACCCAAGAACCTACGCGACGATATTTAAAAGAAAATCTTATCCTAAGCATGTTCATAATAGAGTTTCTAAGCCGCAACTGGCTATTAAAAAAAAGAAAAAGAGTTGACCTCCTCCTGTCTCATTTAGTACAGGTAGTCCTCAACTTACAACAGTCTGTTGAGTGTCCATTTATCACACGTGCAACCTTTTCAGCATCCTCAATGTCATGTGATTTACACTGGGATGCCTGACAGCTGGTTCATGTTTATGACGGTCGCAGCTCCACTTTTCCTACCAATGGGGCTTGGAAACCACCAAAGGATAAAAAGAGGAGATATTTTAAATTCTCAGTTCTTACTCCAGTGGGACCTTCCTTCCTTGACCCCTTGGCAATGGTGTGTTTGTGTTGCACACAGAATCGCAACCTTCCAGTTGGGTCCGGCCTGGTAGGCCAACCCAACTCCAGGGGACATGTAGGCTCAGAGGGCCAAGTTAGGCCCTGCAGCAGGGGTCTTCAAACTTGGCCCTTTGATGACTTGTGGACTTCGACTCCCAGAATTCCTCAGCCAGGCACGCGTGCCTGGCTGAGGAATTCTGGGAGTCGAAGTCCACAAGTCATCAAAGGGCCAAGTTTGAAGACCCCTGCCCTGGAGTGAAAAGAAAAGCAGAGGTCAGAAAGGCAAGAATGGATTGTCCTCTCCAGAGGACAAAGCTGGTCACAAAACAGGACCGGTCAACCTCTCTGCTCCTTTTACAGCTTACCGGAGAGTAGAGGCTGCAAAGGCAGCAACTGACAGGAGCTGGCCTCAGGCATTTTGGCCCTCAGCCAAGTCCACGTGCTCCAGAAAAAAAAACAAAAAACAATATGGTATATTTTTTGCGTTTCCCAGCCCTCCTGACAGACCAGGCTGTTGCTTTGGATTTTGCGGGGGAGGGGGGGTCTGCAGTGGGTGGCGACCCTCCAGCCAGCCCCAGCCAGCAGGGGAAAGGGGTGACCGAGCCCCACAGATCACACTTGGGCCCTTGCCACCCCCTGCCCGTCACTTTCCCTCGACTTTTTTTTTTTTTTGGCACTTTCTCCAAGTTGCAAGGAGGGGGCCAACTTTCCTTGCTTCCTGCCACCCACCTCGACCTTCCTCCAGAGGGGACCACGGGTTCCTCCTGCCCTCCCTCCTTCTCCCTCCCTCCCAAAGGGCTCAGGGGCCCAGTGGTCCTGACGGGATTCCCTGGCAAAGCGGGGAGGGGTCTCCCCGGGCAGCCCGTCCCCTCCCGCGCTCTCCGACCCCTTTAATCCTGACTTACCCCGCGGACGGGATGCGCTGCCAGGCACAGGGCAATTACCAAGACGGGCGCGCTGCAAACCCAAAAAAAAAAAAGAAAGGAGAGAGAGAAAAAAAGGGGAGGGGGTGTCAAAATGTCACGTTTTTCCCACGGCGGACGCGACCCCCGCCCCCCCCAAAATCCTCCCCCCCCTTTTTTTTTTCCTTCCGGATCTGGACACTCACCCGGCGAACATGCTGCCTCTCCCGAGCTGCTGGGCAGCGCCTGGACCCCGCGGGAGAACGCGGCTCTGGAGCCCCTTCCGCGCCCCGTTCCGGAGAAGGGGAGGCGGCGCGGCAGCGGGAAGGGCCGGTCGTGTGGACGCGCGGGCAGGACACGTGAAGAGAGGTCTCCGCCCTCCCGAAGCGGCAGGGGAGAGCCAACCCCGCCGAACGCTCCGCGCCCAAGCCGCGCGGCCGAGAGGCGGCGGGGGCGGGGGACGAGGGCGGAGCCGCACGCCCCTCCAAGCAGCCGCAGTGCCGCCTCGGCCTCTCCTCTTCCCCCCCCCCGGTCCCCACCCGCCTCTCCCCCTCCCCGCGTGCCCGTGCCAGTTTCCGCCTGGGTCAGTTCCCACGTGCGTGCGCCCTTGGCACAGAACCAGGCGTTTCGTTTGAGAGGTTCCCGTCCTGTTCCTTTAGGACCAAGCGGGGGGGGGTCTTTTTGCGCCCCCCCTCTTCCAGGTTGGGGTTCCTGCGACCGTGGGAATCCTGCCCCCTCTCAGAGACGAGGAAGACCCTTCTTCCCCCCCCCCGGAGTCAAGAAAGTGGACTGTCTCACCTGGGCTGTGGCTAACTTTTGGCACCCGGGTCTGGGGGGAGCAGCGCATCTTGAGAGCTGACTTGGGCAACAGGTGGTTCGGGAAAGGACGGGTCAGGGTCTCGTGGGAATGCTAAAATAATGAGGGGGGGGTCTTCTGAGCCGCAGGCCCGACCCCTCTTGTCAGCCGCTGTGGGCTTCAAACTCGGGGCTTCTCAAAACTCCAAAAGCTGCAGAGCTTGGTTCTATTCCCTGGAGACTTTGGCGGGGGACTGTCCGGGTTTTCAGATAATGGGATATATTTTAGCTGTGGAAGCGAGCGAGACGCCCCCGAAACGGAGCGATTGAGAGACGGCAGCCGTTTGGGGTGCGCTCTCCCCTACACACACACACACACACACACACACACACACACACACACACACACACACACACACACACACACTCCGCTCTCTGGCGCTAGGTCCCCACACATTGTGAGGCTGCAAAAACCTTAAAAAGTTCCCTCTGGGAAAACTTTTTAGACTTGCCCCGGACAGGATCCTTCTGCAAGTCTTGTTCGGATTGACAGACTCGGTTATTGCAGACTCCTTGTTGCGTGGGGGGGGGGCGGGGGTTGACCCCACCCCGCTGGTTGTGGGCAAGTTCTTGGTTGCGCGTGAAATTGGGGGGAAGGGGCCGTTTGGAGTACTGAAGATGGGGTACAATGCTCCCGCCGGTTTCCTTGAATAACCCCAACGAAAGCGCGAATCCACACGCGAGGGTTCTGGGAACCCAGCGGAAGAGGTTGCGTTAACACTGGTAAAGCGAGTCATGCGCAGCGCTGACACCTAGGTCGTCGGACCGCAGCTGTAGGGAGGGGGGGGCAAACTGGCCCGTTTCACATCAGAGTAGAACTTGGCGCTGAAAATCGACTTTTATTCCTCCGGCTAGTTCTCGGACTCTCCTGCTGGTTCATAATTTACTATCCCCCCCCCCCGTTACCGAAAGGAACTAACCCGGGTTGTAGAACCGGTGAACGCACCGCTTGGTTGTCTGCGGCTCAGACCACAAGGGCCAGAACGCCTCCCCCCCCCCGAGTCCCCTCTAAAAACGTTTCCCAATTCAACGCAAGGCATGGCAGCTTAGCCCAGCCTAAACAAACCACGGCTTCGCACAACGAAACCACCAAGCAACAGAAGGGGGGGGGGAAGGTGGGAGATGAAAAAGAAAAGTTTCCCTTCCTTCCTTCCTTCCTTCCTTCCTTCCCTCCTTCCTTCCTTGCTTCCTTCCCTCCTCCCTCCTTTCTTCTTTCTTTCTTTCTTCTTCCTCTTTCTTTCTTTCCTACTTACTTTTTCTTTCTTTTTCTTTCTTTCTTACTCTTTCTTACTCCTTCTTTCTCTTTCTTTCTTTCTTCTTTCTCTTTCTTTCTCTTTCTTTCTTTCCTACTTACTTTTTCTTTCTTTCTCTTTCTTTCTTTCTTTCTTTCTTACTTTTTCTTTCTTTCTTTCTTTCTATCTTTCTTTCTCTTTCTTTCTTTCTTTCTTTCTTTCTTTCTTTCTTTCTTCCTCTTTCTTTCTTTCTTCCTTCCTTCCTTCTTCCCCTCCCCTCCCCTTCCTTCCTCCCTCCCTCCTTCCTTTTTTTACATTCAACTCAGACTGAATTGTTGGTGGCCCAACAAGCGGCTCGCGCCCCGCTGCCGCCGCGGGGAACTACAAATCCCATCCGCCAGCGGCGCAGGCAAGCCGGCCGGGCGGCGCATGAATCCGGGCCGAGGGCGAGCGGCAGGCAAAGTAGTCCCCAGAGAGAGAGAGAGAGACGGGGGGGGGGGCGAGGAAGGAGGGAGGGAAAGAGGGAGGCCGGGCCGGGGCCGCGCGCCCGAGCGAAGGCGAGCCCGGAGCCGGGAAAGGCGGAGGCGGAGGCGGGCGCGGAGGCGGGCGCCCAGAGCCGCTTCGCCCGGCCCAGCCCTGCCCAGTCCTTGCCCACTTCATCCTCCTCTGCTTTCATTTTTCCTTTTTTTCCTTTTTTTTTGGGGGGGTGGGCGAAGGCTGGGTCAGCTCCGGCGAGGCTGCGGGGCTCCTGGAGGAGGTGGAGAATGAAGCTGCGCCCGGGCGCCCGGCGCCTCCTCTTGCTGCTCGCCCTGGGACTCGGCGCTTGGGACGCCCAGGCTGCGGTGGGTCTTGCTCGGCTCCCTTCGGATGCCCCCGGAGGGGAGAGCGGGGCGGGAAGGGGGGGAGAGGAGACGAAGCCGAGCTGGGGCCGGCGGGGGTGGGGGAGAGAACGAGAGGGGGCTTTCGTCTCCCGGGTGGGTGGGTGGGGGGGGAAGAACTGCCCGGGGACGGGCTGCAGACCCCGGAAAAGTTGGGCAAAGTTGGTTTTAAAAATAGGCTCCGGGGCCAGCGGGTGCAAGGAAGGCTGGGAAAGGGGAGGGGGCGCGGGAACGGGTCGGAGCCTGCCCTGGCGCCTCCGCGGGGTCCCAGGGAGTGAAAAAGCCGGTGGGGAGGGGGGGCGGAGAAGAAGGCAGGAGAGACTGTGAAGAACGGGCAGGCAGGTCCGCGGGTCCCGGGTTGGTAACGCGCGCACAGCTTGGAGCTGGGTGGCTTGGGTTGCGACGGGGAGACGAGGGAGGGCAAGAGCCAACGGAGAGATGGGGAGGGCTGCGCTCCCCCCCCCCACCCCTAACTGGCTCCTTCAGGTGGCCGCGTCGGGGCAGGGTCCTTATCTCTCCCCCCCCCCTCTCCTTCTCCCTTCCAGCCTCCTCTCCCGGGAATGTCCTTATCAAACAAAGGCGCGGGTTAGTTTTGTCTAACTCCTTTCGGTGCAAAATTTACTCTCTCCCGGTGGCTTTTCCAGTCAGTGAAAGTGAAGGCGTGGGCTGTGTGTTTGTGTGTGTGTGTGTGTGTGTGGGGGAGAGGTGGCCCTGCCTTGCCGATCCAGCTCGAGATAGTCAGGATGCCAGGGGTGCCAGCCCGCTCCCAGCCCTCGGATCTCAACCCCTTTCCTTTCCCCCACAGTTGGCAAGGGTGTTAAGATCCACTTCGGTAAGATGGAGATGGTAGCCTTAAAAAAAAAAGGGGGGGACGCTTCAGCAACGTTCAGTCCCGAATTTCAAGATGCCCCCCTTCCTTTCCCACATGCTGTATGTGCGTGTATAGGAGAGGCAGGTGGGTGGGTGGCAGGACTGTGTGCATCCCGCACAAATGTAGCTTCCTCCCGGTCTAAACTGCTGCTGGAGGGAAAGTTGCAAACTTTGGAAAAGTCCACTTGGGGCGTGTGAAGTGGGAGCTGAAACAAAACATGGCCCTGTTCTGTCCCCTCCCGCCCCTAAATGTGAATCTTCAATTGGCTGTATTCTTCTTTTCCACTTTCTGATAGTTGGTAGACTTCTTGAGAAGTGGTAGATGGAATGAAATTGCATGCGGTCCTTGTAGGGTTAGCAAATATGTGTCTTCTGCTTATGACCCACTGATGACACAAACACCAGTGGATGTTAGTGCTGTGATGGCTCAAGCTTGGAGGTAGTGGCGATAGGGTTATAGAATAATGTGTCCACTCCTTGGAACCTACAAAATGTGTACTTCACCGGCTGTTTAATCTCTCCTCCCATCCTCTTAACTGTGTTCTCCCTTGCACGGAAATGGTCAAAATAGTTATTTTCTCCTTTTGCCTAGTTGTTGTTGATTAACATGCCCCCTGTGAAACAATATGTATTATTAACTAATGCTATCTCTCCTTTTAAGGTAGTGTTTAATTGCCAGGGTCATTATGGAAAGCAGAATGATGGGCTACAATGCAGCTATGCGTGTTTGAATAATCCCTTTTAGTCCAATATCTGTAGTAGACTCTTGTTTGTTTATTTTCAGGAATGAAAACTTCAGCCAGATGTTTGTCTTGCACCTTTCCCCTAAATATCTAATGACATGAATGAGAAATTAGTCATTTCATTTTATGGGCTAGTTTATTATGTATTTTTTTTTTCTTAGATTGGGACCAGACTGAGATGCTTTAACAATGCTTAGTTACTCCTTAACAAGTTTTTCTTCCTCCTCCCCATTCAAGGCGTAAGCCTTGGCTATAAACTTGTGTTTGTCATTTAGGGCAAATAACTTTGTCCCATGTCTTACATGTTATCGAAATAATGTATATTTGTTGTCTGTGGGCAAATAAAGGGAACCTCAACCCCAAACTGAGCTCCTGTGAGGACAGAGCAAAATGAACTAATTTTAATTCTGTTCAAACATAATTTCTCTAAAGTTTTTTGGGACTTTACGGAAATTTCTTTGCTGAATGATAACTAAACTGTTGGAAGTTTTATTCCATAGTGCTCTGTTCCCTGTATGAGTTTCCATCTGGTATAATAACTGACTTAGTGCACGTTAATTCAGACGTCAACCTCAATAAATGGAGCGGGCCTCTAACTTTTAATAAAAGTAATGTGAAGTTGCTGACAAACTACTCCATTCTGTTTGCCATCTGCTCCGAACTAAAATTCTCAAGAGTTTGGGATGGTGGTTTGGGTGGGGATGAAATTAATTCATTCTTTGTGTAATTATATACTCTGCATAATTGGAGCGCATAGTAAAGTGTAAAATTCCTAGCGTTAGCAAAGGGGAGAGGACTCTGTACCCCACTTATGCAGTTTGTAAAACTTGAGTTCTTTCTCTTCGGCTTTTTCCAATGCTGGTTTGTTTGTAACACCTGCTTTGGGTAAGAGAGCAGGGATGTGTGTCACCGGTGTGC